AAAACAGCCCACCGTCCCTGGCACGCTGTCAAAGTCACTGCTGGAGTCGGTGGGAGCGGGCACGGCCCTGGGTGCAGCACTGCGGCTGCTCTCGGCGGGGGGGCCAGGACAGCAATGCGCCCGCGCCCGCCTCGCCATCACCTAGCCCTTCCTCAGGCCTAATTAAAGTCATTTTTCCCTCCTCTGTTTGCTTTGCAAGTGTTTAAAGGGCAGCACCTAGTAAAACACCTGCACCCAGCTAAACAGGATCTTTGTATCACATGGAGAGCTAACTTGACCTGTGTTGTCTTAAGGATTTAATCTCTTTTTGGTTCACCCGGAGTCCCTGCAGTTAACTCCCCTTGACGGTAACAGAGCCTGTAGTTTCTCATCATACGTGTGCTGCACATTTCCAAGTAGATACCAGTGGCTGTGCTTTTTAAACGATTAAAACCAATGGAGTTTGCAGAGTGGCCAACTCGTCATTTTCTTATCGTTGTTTCTTGGAATTACAGTCAGAATAAAAATTATTTTGGTAGAAGATTTCCCTTTGAAAACATTTTGATACAGAGACTTTTAAAGCAAATTTTAATATATATTTGCACTATTTTTAGTTCTTATGTATACATACACTAGAGCCAAATTCTGTATCCTCTTTGTACCAAAAATTTTAAAAGCTGCCATTAAGGAAAGTTTCGATGCAATAGCAATGTCCTCATTAGAGAAAGTATAATAAATTATTTATTGCTATGTACTGCATAAGGAATTAAAGAATTATCAGTAAAACAATTCATGCTCTTTGTTCAGGAAAGAGGAAACACGAGATGTGATGGCAGAGGTATCTGAGGGATTTTCTTCTATGCTGCTGCTGATTCTCTTCTGCAGAGCTCTTCAAATAAAACTGTTATGCAGAGCTGTATTGTCACAGGCAATGAAGTAGCTCCACCACCTGGGATTTTCTAGAACTGCGTTTCTTCCTCTGTTACACTGGATTTTATACACTTTTTGTTTTGTTTTGTTTTTTCGATAAGTAAGATGATGCTTTTGAAATGACGTTGACTATAACATAAAGCTGCAGTGCAGGTAAGTAGTGATAATATCCAGCTGTTTTGTTTCATGCAAGAATTTCTGTCTCTGAACTAAGAGAAATCTTTTTTTTAAGTGTCCCATCATAATCTGTTGTTTTATAACTTATTAAAGTTTTTCAAAGTCACTGTCCCAACAGTGACAACATTGAAATGGCAGAAAGGGATTATTATAAGTCATTTTTCTGAGACAGGTTATATTCATTTAATTCTATTAAGACCAAGTGGAGCTATTCCTGAAACATGCTGGCATCAAGGCAGATCCAAAGCAGAGCAGTCTAAGGCTTTGGTGAAAGCATTAATAAAGCCAGCGCCCTTCTATGCATCTCTCGCTTTTATTATTAAGAGCTTCTACCCTAGGTCCTGCCTAGTAGTGAAAATGCCTTCAAGTGAACAAACCTGCCTTCAAGTGAAAATGCAGTACCTATAAGCACAAATTTCAAGCAGCAGGAAATTCAACCCAGCAGAAATCAGCTTAGCAGCAGAAGTGTACTGTTAAGGCCAAACTTTGCCCAAATGATCCCAAGTTTGCATAGACGGGCACATATTATGCCCCCAACATCTTTGTTTTTTTCTCATGTTCTTCCCTATTTCCCCAAATTCATTAGCTACAGATCAGTTAACGCGAATTGACATTGAATGCCCCACCACAATTTAATGCAGGTGGGCAAAATGAAGTTTTCAGAGCTGGTTTGTGGCTGTAGGGCCCCTGCTCACACTGCTTGCCTTCAGTCGCTGGGCATTGCTTTGACCATCTCCCTGCAGAAAAAGGCTGTGCTAGTGTGGCCAGCCTACGGCTTCCACCAGACCTGGGCAAGGGAAAGCCAGCTGGCAACGACACCCTCTCTGACAACTTCCATAGTTGCGGTATCAGCCTCCATGCAGTTTAGGACTAAGTGGGTCAACTCAGTCTTGTCTGCCCTTTGGTCAGTCTTCAGATGGCTTCACAGCAGACTGATGTACCCAGGTCACACCTGGCTGCCAACCCAGGAAGAAGAAAAGATGCCAAGTCAGACTGGCCACTGCCTCTGGAGCAAGAAATGCCCTGGTGACCCCGTTTCCCCTGCCTCTGGCAGACAATGTACCCATCATCTTTGCTGCAGAAATGAGGCCATGCTTTCCCCCTGCTCCCCTCCTGGCTCCCAGGCTGTCCTCCAGAAGACTACAAGAAAAGGAGACAGGAGGCAAAAGCTAAAGGCCAGAGCCTGTAAATTCCTTCCTACGAGTACAAGCAGCCTCCGACCTCGGGGGTCCGCACAGTGAGAGCGAGAGAGAGACAACTGTGGCCCAGATGGGCTGAGGACATTTTCCTCCCAGTGGTTCTACTTTTATTTAATTCCCCCTGTACATAGCAACTGTGTATTACTCTAATATGCGTGGATTAAAAGAGCATACCTAATGCTACAAAGAGCTGGAGTTTGTTTTTCCTGTTTGCCAACTTACCTGCAGCAGCTAAAATTCTGTGTAGAGACCAAATCTATTGTATAAATATTTTACTGGGCGTAGCGGGAGATTTGGCAGCAGAGCGAAGGGATGAAAGAGGGCAATGGTCTTTGCTGACATCACATCACGAGTAAAATAAACTCTTTCATCCTGTTTCTTATACAGGAGATGTTACAGAGGCATACAGGCACTCACTGTTCTGTTATTTTGTTATTTCCGATCCTCCCTCAGCCTTATTCCCATCCTCCATAGAAATGTCTGCTTTTTCTTTTTTTTTTCCTTTTAAGGCATTTTTCAGGATCAAAAGTAAGTGATCCCAACAGAGAAAATAATCTCCTCTTCTACTGGAACTGTACAGAAAGCAATAATATCTTCAGTAAGATCACTTTGGGGCTTAGAGGAATTGCAGATCTTTGTTCGCTAGTGAGGAAATGGGTTTTATACCAAGGCAAGTGAGCAGTTGTTCCATTGCTTCTAGTCATGCAAATAAACTGTCGCACAGTCCATGACCTCAGCTCTCACTGTGCATTGTCATAATGATCGGCTTACTAGTTTGATTAACTGAAGGACCAATAAGTTTATGTCCCCAAAATCAATGAAACTCAAGTCAATGAGAGAAAGAAGTAGCCCAGCAGAGGACACACCGTTCGTTCCTCTTCGACAGCGATACCCTCAGCACTTCACCTGGTTTTGTTCAGAGGAGAGCAGATCCTTGGCTTCATTTGACAGCCACACTTGCTCCACCACGGTGGCAGCTTTTGGGTTGCATCCTAAACCTGTGAGTACGTTTACCAGGTCCAGGAGCAGTTCTTGCTATCCTCCATAAGAGGTTACCTCCAGGCCCAGTGACCCATACTTCCCCTTAACTTTGATGACTTCTGCCATTTCACATGGGTCCTAGAGGCTCCCTCAACTGGTTCTGGAAGTGGAGTAGAGGAAGCAATGGCTGCTCAGGCACCAGAAACCAATGAGAGGAGAAAATCTGCCCTACAACGAGTACCTGCATTGGCAGTATGTGCAGTTATCAACCATTGCACGAACATTTTCCACTCCCATGTGCTAACCATCATACATACTTTCTCTGGAGCATGGCTTTAACTGTGCTGTTTGCTCTTGCCATTTCTCTAAGTATTTTTCAGTCATTATTTTCCTCAGACTGCTGTCTATCCCTGGGCTATATTAAGTCAGCATCCTAGTGGATCATCCAGCCCAGTATCCTCTCTCGAAGAGCGGGCTGTAAAAGAGGCTTATAGAGCCTCAGTAGCAGCTCAAGAACAGAGTAATCCCATCCCACCCTTTCCTTACCCCCTACTACACTGAGCACCTACTGAACCAGAGCCTGCAACTACATAATTTGTGTTTAAAAGCCACTAACAGACCTATTCGATAGAAACGCATTTAGTTCTCTTTTGAACCTGTCTATACATCTGGCCTTGACAACAGCCCTTACCTTGGAGTTTTACAGTTTCATTATTTGTTGTGTGAAAAGCAGTTCTTTTATTTTGCTTTAACCTCCTACCTCTTAATCTATCAGAGTGAAAAAAATAGCCAGGAAAAAGCATTTCTTCACCCTCTCCTGAAGCCAAGTTGAAGAAAGGGAAGGGTTTTGATCTGAGGTGAGGTCAGGCTTCCAGAAGGACTTTTTAAAGCTTCCTCATTCAGCTTATTTAAGCTCTAGTGAAATGAGCTATGTACAAATACATTAAAAGTCTAAGCTTTAAAGAATCAAAATTGCCAAAAGCTTCTGCCGCTGGAATATTCGTCTATTACATATTTGGCAGAGAAGTGGCTGCATAGACAGATGACGTGCCATTAGAGTCCATATAAGTAACCGCTAGGGAAGGCACCTGCTGCAGTACAGAAGATGTTGTTAGAAAGGCAAAGATCTGATTGAAAAGCAATTTATATTCCGAGCAAATACATAATAAGAGAAGATATACTACGCCATGTAGAGCTTCCTGCAGAGGAAAACGACACACACTGACAGTGGAAAGTAGTTAATCCCATGGAAATAATTAAACGAGATCCACAGGAAATGCAGATTTTGAAAATGCGCAATGCTTAGCCAAAACATGGATGATTCAGCTTATTGAAATGGGAGTTCACCCTGTCACCCAAAAAGTCTTAAAATCTAGAGAAACTCTTAAAATTAAGAAATAGAAAGAGGAATATCGAGTCAAATTCAGCAATGTGATCATGTTACTTCAGTGGCTGTACCTGCCTATGGTTGAATAAAATGAACGTGTGAGAGGAAACTCAAGTTTTGTTTCAGATTAAATGATATTACTGCCTTCCTACTGTCATAGACATACCTATTTCCAAGAAGGATGGGAACAGAGACAGCAAAGCTTCTTGCGTTGTCTTTTTATGCCAGGAAAACAAATGAAGTTGAATTCCATCTGTGCTTTCTACTGTTTCCAGTCTTGCTCCCACGGATAACAGAGAGAGTCCTATTAAAGTTAGCAGGGGACTGAGTCATGCCCTGATATCGTATGCAGAAAAGTGGGACTGTGAGGATAAAAAGAAGTTAAGGTTTGTACAGCTCAACTCATAGGCCAGATCACAGCACAAAACCCAAGCTGGAAAAGGATAGAGCAGAAAGCTTTATGAACTCAGACAAGTTGAACATCTTCACCCTCCTGGTGGGGGAGAAAGAACTGGCAGTTGCATTTAAGGATATCTCTTATAGAAAATGAGCAACTGAACTGGTGCTAGCAAGACTATGGGACTTCCTTGCAAGGAGTATTGGTTGCTGATCATTATTTTTATCCGCCTGTACCATACGGCTGGTGCGTGAGGTCTTGTTAACTTATGACTGAACCAGGTTTAAATGTAAGGGGAGAGTCTTGAGGGTGGACGCAGGAACAGACAAGAAGATGAAAATGTCCAGGCAGAGATGGTTTGTTGATGAACTCTGCACTGCATCTGAGACTTGAAGACCTCTCCAGGTAAGGTGAGGAAAATGAGAAGTTGTTGTATCCGCAAGTATGGGATTTTTTTGTCCTCATGAATCTGCTTTTCGCTCATGCTTGGTCTGTGAGTGTTCATGTGATCTAGAAGTGTGGTTTCATGGCCAATGTTCTCCTTGCCTTTTCTTTCACTGAGTCCCTGAAGGGTGAAACAATGATCCAGTCAAGATGAAACTCTGAGGAAGGCTGTTGGAGCTATCAGGGGCATATGTGGTCCTTTGTGGTCCTGGGACTTACAATAGCTGGACCATACCCTACAAAGGTATGCCGGTGCTGGAATCTGTCCCTGTTATGATAACTGAAAAGTCATATATGGAGCCTGACTCAGGATGCTGGTTGGGCTCAGCAGAACCTAAGGGTTTGTTCTCCTTTGCATATAGTCAGGTGCCTTGTACTGCTCTTGCTGTCTCTCCAGTACTTGTCTGCAAGAGGGGATTCACCTGGGGCAGTGGCAAATGTTGGATTTTTCCTTTCAAAGGCCTGATCCAAGCTCTTTGTACTAATTTCGGTGATCTCTGGTAAGGTCCCGAATATCTGCTCAGAACTGAGTTGCAGAATAGATGACTGAGGACTCTTTTACCTCTGAGTGCTTCTGCAGACAGAAGCAAGAAAAATGCTTCCAAAATGATAACAGTAAGAATCTGACTGCAATCTGCAAGTCAGATAGGAACACAAAGAGCATTTCATCTCCTTTGTGATTAGGGGCGAGACTGACACATGGAAAATAACCAGACCACACAGACAAAGGAACACTGAAAATAATAACCTTTAAAGAAGCACATCTGAAAAAAATAACTCTTCCAATGTTTAAATTTGCCTAGCGAGTACAGATGCCAAATGCATTTCAGGAATAGCTTGGCAATGACTGAGTACAACATTTAATTAAGTGATTATATAATCAGCCCTCTGTTTTATGAAGCAATAATTCAATTCCCAAGTGGATAAGCTATGAGGCCGAAGGCCGGGCAGTTTATCACAATGAGGGAATCTGATTACTGCAGAGGAAAACATAGGGACAATGATGTTATTGTTACAATACTAGTTTAATTAATATGAAATTAATATGTCTTGCTTTTTTTTTTTAATTCATAACAATGCATGACCTGCCAAGAAGATGGTGCTTCCTCCATTTTCTGTGTGGAGGTAGTGGTTATTTATGGCCACACAGAACGTGCGGGACGTTAATGATGTCACACACTAATTTATTGGAGATAAAATTACATGAGTCATTTTATCAGCGAATGATATAGTCCTTTTCCTGGAGTATAAGTAGACAAAGACTCCACTTATGCTGTAAAAGAGATATCAGACAAGATAACTTCTTTGCGGGAAAGCTTTTCACTGTATTACTAATAATAATTCCATTAAACCAGAGGTTTGAGCCCCACTGAGCTGGGACTTAGAGTACACAAAATACATGATCAGGGAAATCTAACCAGCAGCTGGTGAAAATATGTATAGTTCCAACAATATATATGAAGTTGCACCAGCCAGACAACTTGCTCAGAGAAGGAAGTAATGCAGAGTGACCAAAATGAGCTAGGGAATGAATTGCATTCGTTTGTGATGGCTGGGGTGTGTTTACAATTTTGTTTAGATATTTTATTAGAGATTTCAGGAAAACCCCAAATCAGTATAGGAATGAGCATAGAGGGTATTCTCAGAAGCGATTTAGAGTAAAGTGGATAGAAGAATGATTTACTGCAACAAGAAGAATCGGAAACACCGAGAAAGCAAAAGGGGAAAGAACCAACAAAGACAAAAGAGCACGTACCTGGGAAATCAACTGGATATGAGGCCAGGACAAGGAACAAGGGAAAGAAATGCAATGATCAGTGTTGATTAATATATGCAGATTGCTGTCTTCAGAGCTGAATGAATAATGACTTTAAGAGAATATGAAACCTCCTTTTTGCTGCTGCTATTGCATTTGCACAGGGTCGGGAAACCCATGTGCAGACTCAGCATTTCTGAGAGGCACCTGAGAAGATTTCCCACCTGCTTTAAAATATCAGGATGAAAAGAAAGATAGAAAGAAAGAAAAAAAAGAGTTTGAACACTGAATCAAGCCTATTGCAGTAAATTCTACTTTTACTATGGCACTAGGATATTAGGGACTGTATTACATGCTGGGTTCCCAGGATGGACAGTTCAAGGGACTACATACCATGTAATCATTGATTTGATGCCTTGAAATAGAGCTTATAGGGAAAGCTGCTGGGGGAAATAGCACTAATATAGACTGAGATTGGTTACTAAAATGGAGAGAAAAACTATTAGGTTGCAATCATTTTATAGGAAAGTGTTCTTAAGCGCGGGAAAAGGAGTTTATGTTCCATGTAGAAGAATCCCTGTAGCACAGTTTCAGCTTATTAGTACTAAATTGACCACAGCAAATGAGCACTACAATTGTCAATGACCTGGCATTTTAAAAGCACACTGGGGCTGCGTTTTAAACTATTTTACACGCATAAAGACTGTGAGATGGAAGAAGAAAGTAAGGAAATCCACCTCGCAATCTCAGCTGCAAAGATGGCTACAGAAGAGTGCTCTCGGGGGTGTGCACATAAGTACAAAGAGATTTGCTTTACTTCTGGAGTCTGACCACTGGCACTGAAATATGAGGCTCAAATAGAGCAGTGATAGCCTTTCGCAAGGGCATTGTTAGGGCTATACAGAAGCTACTAAACAATGTGAAATTTAACCCTTCTGAAAGAGAGGAGGCACTGAAGGCATTTAAAACTGGGCAAGTAATAACAAGCACTGCTGTGGGAGAATGAACTGGTGCACGAGACAGGTACTTTTCCAGCCCTGTGTTACTGCATGGCCCAGTATTCTTCTGTGCTGTGTCCCAGTGATTTCCTATGCAGAGCTAGTCTCAAGCACATGGGTCACCTAGCTGAACCTTCCTTTAAGGCAGGGGCTTCACAGCTCTCTAGGTTTTGAAGTCGTGTCCCAACAGAATAACCCTCCTGGGAGTTCTGGCCTACAGTGAGTGTTCTACCTGCCTCTTTAATGCAAGTGCAGCAAATCTTCTGAGTATATCACCATGAATGAAGCTCCTGCAGCCCTTTGTCGAATGAGAAGGCCTCACACCAACCCATGTGAACTTGTCCCTCCATGTTTATTTATACTGCCATGTATCCATCCACAGAGAGCTGGGTTGACAACAAGCTTCTTCATCAGTTCTTCAGGCAATTAGAGTATGTTCCTGTGATCCAGGAAGGAGGGAGCAGAAAATCTAAAGACAACAAGTGCAAGAGCCACCGTCTTGGTGAAAAGGTCGTCCTTAAACTAGATGATACTTGTTTCATGATGCATTTCTGGCCATGGTGAACACTGAAGAAGTGACCACAGCAGCAGCAACAGTAGATCCCAGGGCACTACTGGACTTCAGCGTGACATCTGGGTGAACACTGAAGAAGTGACCACAGCAGCAGCGAGAAGTGACCACAGCAGCAGCAACAGTAGATCCCAGGGCACTACTGGACTTCAGTGTGACATCTGATGCATAGTTTTAAGCAAAAATTTTGTTCAATCTCCAATGCAGAGAGTTGGGCTGGAGAGAACAGCCATATCATAACCTAGATGAAAAAGTGGGTGTTGCATCTGTAGCTTGTTTTTCACATGATGTCTTGCAGCTTTCACTGGTGAGGCTTTCTGGGTTGTGTTAATAATCACAGCATACTTTCCTTTATCTAAGGCCCACTGCCAATGTTGATTGAACTCTGTGGTCAGTGAGTCTAGATCTGAAGTCTTGGCATTCATAAGATTGTCAGATATTAGCCTGACAATCAAATGGCCAAAGCAGAATTGGTAGGAGGCCACGGGCAACATGGAACAACAGATCCTGATGCTGGTTTCTGCATGCAGACAAATATTTGCATGCTATCCAGCAAAGCTGTCAGATACTTTGATGTTCTTTGGGTTTATTACACTTCAGCACTTTCATTCTCTAAAGCTCTAAAAATGCTCTAATTTGTAACTTGGATTTTAAAATGCACTGAGCTTCCTAGGTACGACGTCTAACAATGTTAATGACGGCTGGTTTCATAACTCCCAGTAGAATTTGTATGCAATTACTGTTCTCCTCCTCCAAACAGAAACCTAGAGGTTTGCAAAACACACCATATGTTTGTCAGTGTGCCAATGAATCAAGATGTTTTTGCAGCCTTCTGAGTTTCAATAATTAATGGTAATGTCTAAAACCTAAACCACAGTTCAGGGGCTCAGAACAGAACCTTTGGCATGTCCTGTGTTATTCAGCATCATCATAGTTGAGATACTTCAGGTAAGAAACTAAACATTTGTATTAACTCCAATTTTTCACTTTTGTCCGATCTCCCATGATGGTTACCAGTGACCACTGCTCCTTCCAAGACTAGCTGACTGGATTCATACAGAAGACTTACTTATTATGCAGAGTAATTCTATTACCCCCAGCCTAGGCTTTGGTCTCAAATACTTGAATGTTCAACACTCCAGTGTAATCTGCCTAGGCTGACTTGATTTTAGTGACTAAATGTAGTCTAACCCTTTACAGGTCTGCAAATATGCTTTATTCTCATCAAGTGGCTCGTTACTCGCTTTAGCAGACTATTAGCAACTAATTAATACAACAAAGTTAAGCAAACAAAATAAATCAGTTAGGTCTTAAAACTTGGTTCACAAGCATGCTGCCTGAGTTTTATGAGCCATATTTTTTCAATTATTATTTTAAAATGTAACTGCTTGAAAGGCTGATCCAAAAGAGAACACTTAATGTTAATGCCTTACGTACCTACTTCTTTTGCCCTAGGATAATTCTTCTGAGGCCTCCTTTGCTTCTATACTTGTGCATGAACACTTCTGCCTTAGCTAAGAATTTATGAGTAGGTTTCTAGTCTTTCAGGTGAAGATTTTGCTGTTTGTTAGACTCCTAAAAGCGTCTACCTTTTTATCGATTCCCAGCTGATCTGACTTATTCCATCCGTTCCACT